AGGGGCGCGGCTCGATCGGATTCAGTGCAGGAGCACGCACTCGGCGATGGTTTTTCCGACAACACGAGGTTAATTATGCTTCTTATGACATCTAGAGTTCATATAGGTTATGATGACTTGGGAAAATATGCTCGGATTTTAAAAATTACTCGGCAACTAAAAATGGCCTGATCTATGATTCTAGTCCTCTGGTCACCCTAACTCATTTTAAGCTGAAACGTTAACCACAAACTCAGCATGATTTATGAGGATTTTAGATCTATCAACCTCAGCAAAAACACATCTCATAAGGCCTTTAAAAATTCACTAATTCAAGGCTAAAGTCCCAATTTTTTTAACCATAAAAATCGACCACCAAAAATCTTTAAATTTAACACATAATCTCAGCAACATATTTAAGATTTTTGGATAAAGTATTGCAGCTATATGAGATCTATAACTTGTTCAACACAAAATGTCCATCGAGCTCTAGATATACTATTTGTGTTCACATAACAAATGAACTCCAAATATTCTAAAATTTAAACCACGACATCTAACAATATTCCAAGATTTATGAAATTTATAACACGATTTTTGGACATGCATAGCTCAAGATACGAATATTAGTATGTTAAAGGCAATAAATCTAGATCTCTCATTCTAGCTCCATTTTTCATGCTTTTATATTTTGAAAATACTTTATAATTTATATCTAAGCCATAGGAGAGAGGATTTATAGATCTACCTCTTGAAGGACTCAAAAACGAAAAATGAAGATGAATGTGGGATAGGGTTGCTTAGCACAGGCTGGATCTGGCGCTGCAGGGGCTGGAGGCGCGCGGATCTGCTGAGAGCTAGGGGCCTAGACGCTGGGAAGCTAGAGTTGCGGGCGCTGGCGGACGCGGAGACGTGCTGGGCGCGAGGGTGCGCGGGCGCTGATATGCTGGACGCGAGGGCACGCGGGCACTAGTTGCGGACGCGAGCTAGGACCTGGCGCACCTGGGAGCTACCGGACCAAGGCTGGCTCACAAAGTGGCAAGGGCTCGGTAAGGGTGCTAGACTCGGATCTAGGCTCAGGTGAGCTCGATTCTTGAAGGGTCGTAATTTATGAAGGCTAAGGGAGAGGTTTCGTGACTTAGGATATTTTGAGTGTTTGGGAGCTTAGGAATGTTGGGAAAATGAATAGGAAAATGAAGAGAGTCTTATATATACTCACATGAAAATTAGGGGTTGGGGGACA